ATTTTTCTCTCTTTAAAAATCTCTTTAAATTCCCACACCCTTTTTCTTTTCTTCCCCGCAACTTCTCTCTTCCTCACCTCTCCTATTTATAGGCAAAGAAGAGGAGACAAGAGAGTATGGGTGAGCATGGAGAAGCATGAGTGAGCATGGGGGGTTCTACCATCTCGTGTCCCCCCATCCCGCGTTCCCACGTTCACACTTAGCATAGCTTCTAGCCAGCATAAAGCAATACGTTGTTTACAAGATCATTAGCATAAATATCAATTTTAAATTAATACAGTTAGAATATAATGTTTATATAATGATAAAAATCATTATAAACTGTTCGTTTATTTTAGCACAGAGTAGTGATAAGTGTGCCATATTTTCTCTACTATTTTGGCACTACTACTCACAAAAGAGTGGAGCCATGATGATCATCAATACAATTTCCAAGTGAGGACCTGCTCCTGTGTGAGTAGTACGCTCAAATAGTAAAAACAAGTATTACACTTAGCATTTTTCATAATCAAAATGTTGTATCATTGCCACTGATCTCAATCCTTACATCTTTTCTAAATTTGAAATGAGATTCTAATTAACTACACATATTCTTAGTTTAAATCTATTTCCGTACTAGCTGTTACTTGGTAAAATAAAAATCATATGATTAATTATTAAATCATATTATATTTATTTTATTCGATTGAATAAACAATTAGAAAATTATTTTTAATTTGAATATTAAAAAGGTTCAGATCTTCAAGCTTGATTTTTATGTTTGAAAATTTAGGATCTTGACTTTGTATATCGATAATAATTTGGAATGAGGGCCATTGTCGGTAAATGTTAAAGTTATGATGATAAATTAGTATACTATATTAAAAAAAACCTCTCTTCTAATCTTTTGTTTTTTATGAACTCGCTACTAATCTTTTAATATAGATAAAATATTCATTTCAATATAGAGAATATATATATGTTCAATGAAGAAAACACTAGAAGGGCTAAATGTAAGTTACTCACTTATATGAAGGGCCGTCTATAAATTTTCTTTCTCCCAGTATATACGAAGATCCTGCTGCATGTTGTGCAACTTTCTATAGGATTTGGGTTTTTTTTTCCCTTCATACACTATTTTATATTAATTGCACATTATCCATCTGTAGTATCACTCTTTTAAACTGTTTATCCCTCTAGTTTTATTGTTGAAGATATACCTCGGGGTTAAATTTTTTAAAAAAATCTTTTATCCTAGGTGAAATTTTTGACAGATAATGTCCCTGGGTGAAACTAATGTCTTTGCTAAACTTGTTTTGTTAGACCAATTTTTAGCCTTAAACTGGCTTTTTGGCTCCATCTCCTTTACTGCATGTTTGACAAGTGAGAAGTAAATAGAAAGTGAAAGAAAGGAGAAAATACTTTCTTATTACTTTCTATTTTGCAACATTGTGTTTGGATAATAGAAAGTAAAAGGAAAGAAAGTTGAGGTGGTAAATGATGTGACACTTACTTTCTTCTGTTTGATTATTACGGAAAATAATCATAGACGGTGGATATGTAAAACTTTAAATGATACACGAAAAATCTAAAAATACATTTTCTCTCCTCTCTTCGTTTTTAATCCACTTTCTTCAATTTTTGGAGAAAGTGAAAGCAGCGAAAATATTAATGCCGATGTGACACCCTTCACTTTCAAAATGCCAAACAAGAAAAAATTAAAAAGTTGACCTAGTTTTCAATTTCAGGTCAACTTTCCATTTCTTTCTGGTTGCCAAATACGCCATTAGGTCAAAAATATAACTGATTTAGATCAAAACTGGTATAGAGGGCGAAGGTTCCAAAATCACTGATAGAGTCAACGTTAGTTGTTAAATATGTTTTCGATGTCCTTAAAGCTAGCAGGCTTCAATTAAATTTAAGGCCTAAGTTTGGGCTTTCACCACGTATAATTTTGAATTTATTTTATTTTGGGCCTGAAGGCTCTGTCGATCTTAGGCCTACTTTGGTCCCTTTACAAGGCTTTACCTATATTCTGATGATGGCGAGCCCATAAGCCCTCACCTACCACTTGCCTTGACAAATAAATTATAAGCTAAGTAGATTATAAACTAAAGTGTTTGGTTAAAAGAATAGATTATAAGTCACTTTTATGAGAGTGTTTGGCAAATGGGTAGATTATAATCCATCATTATTGTTAAAATGACCAAATTAGACAATGACTCTAAAATTAAAAATTGAATGGACTTTAGAATTATCTTGAACATTGAGGGGTAAATTTGGTATTTACTTGGTCAAACTACATGGCTTATAAGTCAATAAAAAATAGGTTGGGTTAAGGGAACTTGTTTTTATGGGCTTATAAGCCAAAATAACCTGGTTGCCAAACATATTAAGTGGTTTATAAGTCATAAAAGTGCTTTATAAACTAGTATGACCCATTGCCACTGTTAGATCTTAATACAAGAGCTAACCTGAAAATTTCACAAAATAAATGAAAAATAATTAAATAAATTACATCTCTAATTAGTTGTGGAACCTCCAAATGCACAACACGATAGAAAGTATATAAAATAGCATCTCATTATTTTCTATAAGAAAAACCAGAGTTTGAATTTATCAATAATGAATAATATTAAAATTTACAGAGATGGAGGAAAGGTTACAAATTAAAACTTGATCCTAATACAGGGATATGGCTCGACAGAGGGTGGAGGAATAGCCCGCATGATCAACCACGACGAGTGCATGAACATTAGCTCAGTAGGAAGGCTAACAGAAAATGTGGAAGCGAAGATTGTTGATATTGTCACAGGAAAGGCATTATCAGTTGGCCAACGAGGCGAGCTTTGGCTTCGAGGG